AGTTGCATCCAAGGCGTCTCTACAAAGACAATAGACTTATGATGCTGCCTGCTGGAGAGGAAATGGCATGACCCGAGCATCCGCACCCACAATCCCTCTCCACTCCCCAGCCAAACAGCATCCCCGCACAAGGAACTCCACAGCACAGCCAGCCAAGTGCCCAGGTTTCTACCCCTGATGTAACAAAAGTGATACAATGAGTCCAACATGACAAAACTCTTACAAATATGGTCCCACATATATGAAGTCTAAGCCAGCATTTGTCTAACTGTGCTCCACAGAACACTAACATCAGGCAAAACAATCAGTAACATATATGAGTTCAGTGTGTGTGTGTGTGTTCCAAATTTCCAAATTTGGGAAATACTAACTAGATACACAGTTTAAAAAAAGCTTCTTCACTTCGGCATTTCTCAAAGATTTTGATAAACTAATACAAATCTCTGAAAGGACATAAAGTATGGCCTTTCGCCAAACTTACTTGAACAAGTTTCCACTGAACACAGTTTGCAGAATGCTGGTTGAATGCATCAGTGAATCCCAGTATTCATACCATTCACAGGTCACGTATATTCTGCATAGAAACCGATGTTAGATACTAAAGAAGCACTGTAGAAGTATACTCAAAGGCCACACTTCCACAATTTCTAGTAGTGGACAGGTGTACTTAGATCCATTTATTAGATTTCTAGGGACTTTAATCAGACTCAGATCCTGATCTAGCACCCACAGCTATAAGAACTTGACAAATGGGCTTTACAGCCTTAGAGTCCTTATCTACTAAAAGGAGATGATACGGCTCTTCTCGAAGCACAGTTTAAGCCACATGGCAAATATACACCCGTGGTACTTACTCCAAATGCAGTTAACCTGTGTTTAAAATCTGTTATTCAACAAAGACAATGTGAGCCCATTACCCACAAGCCTATAACAAAATAACTCAGTAACTCACCTGTGAGCTTAGGTGCTCTCGGGGTCAGGGTGCATTTGGAATGGCTACCTGCTTGCATGTCTGTGTATATTCAACCATACAACTTTGCCATGGGGAAAAGATCTCGATCTCAAAGTCACCCACATTCAGCCTGACACACAGTGACCCTGACCCTCTTAGATATGAGGAAAACTAACCGAGTTTGAAGACTGTTACAACAGTATTGAGGAGGAGCCAACTTATGTTTGCAGTTTGACCTAATTAAAAAAAAAAATTTCTGGGCCCAGCTGTGTGGCCTAGTGGCTAAAATCCTCGCCTTGAACGCCCCCAGGATCCCATATGGGCGCCGGTTCTAATCCTGGCAGCTCCACTTCCCATCCAGCTCCCTGCTTGTGGCCTGGGAAAGCAGTCGAGGACGGCCCAAAGCCTTGGGACCCTGCACCCGCGTGGGAGACCTGGAAGAAGTTCCTGGATCCTGGCTTAGGATCAGCTTAGCATCGGCTGTTGCGCTCTCTTGTGGAGTGAATCATCGGACGGAAGATCTTCCTCTCTGTCTCTCCTCCTCTCTGTATATCTGACTTTGCAATAAATAAATAAATACTTTTAAAAATTTCTGCAAAATTCTTAAGAGTTCATGCTTAGTAACTGTTAACAGTGGATGTCAAATCTTTCCATATTCTGAGAAATTAATACGTTACCTTACATTAAAATAAGCAATTGTCGGGCCCAGCGGCGTGGCACAGTGGTTAAGGTCCTCGCCTCGCACTCCAGGGATCCCATATGGGCGCCGGTTCTAATCCTGGCAGCTCCACTTCCCATCCAGCTCCCTGCTTGTGGCCTGGGAAAGCAGTCGAGGACGGCCCAAAGCTTTGGGAACCTGCACCCGCGTGGGAGACCCAGAAGAGGTTCCAGGTTCCTGGGATCGGCATAGTATCGGCCGTTGTGCTCACTTGGGGAGTGAATCATCGGACGGAAGATCTTTCTCTCTGTCTCTCCTCTCTGTATATCCGCCTTTCCAATAAAAAAAAAATAATAAAAATAAATCTTTAAAAAAAAATAAGCAATTGTCATTTTTCTTCTCATCTTTTCCCACACATCACCTCCACCACCTCCGCAGAAACCCTGCTTCCAATAATGCTGATGAATCGTTCCTGATTTTAGTAGCTTCTTCTTTATTATGTGGACTTGATGCACAGAAAATTGTAATGTTACAATAGAGAAATGTAAAACCAGAGAAGGAGAGAGGGAGGGAGGTAGGGAGGTGCAAGGTCCCATCCACAGATTCAACACGTGCACAGCAACCTGAGCTGGGCCAGGAGACTGCAAAATCAGTTTAGGTTTCCCACGTGGGTGGAAAGGATCCAATTGCTCAAGCCATCGCCTGCTGCCTCCTAGCATGACTACCGACAGGAAGCCGGGATTGGGAGCAGAGCCAGGATCATATCCCAGGCACTCCAACAGGGAATGCCCGTGCATGTCTCCATGGCTGTGTTCAACATGTTGACCTTGCTGCTTTTTGTTTTCAACTTTGGGAAACAACTCTTAGAGAATTAAAAAAAATGTTTTGAAGTCTTTTTTTTTTTTAATGCAATGGATTGAGGGAGAACAACAGACAAAATTGACTTCAAAAATTAACCACAGTTGACTCAAAAGAATATAGAAAGAACTGAAACAGTAAGTGAAATTCCTGCACCCAAAACTGTGCCCCCGAAGCACTCCCCTTGGCATTTCTGGACCTCCTGCTCTCAGATGTCAACTGGGTGAGGTCTGCCCAACTCTGGTTCCTCAGTGCAAGGTCAAGAATTCAGTAGAGGAACCTGGGACACACCAGTGTGTCCCACGCCTAGAGTAGAAGCACTGAGGTCTTCACCACAAGCCTGAGCTCTACCCCTCTAGGAAGAGGGGTTTGGGGTGACAGTATGGGTGCTTCATACATCAGGTGAGACTGCCTGCGAGCTGACATTAAGGTCAGTCCACTTAGCATCCATCTTGGCCTTTCAATGACCTTGACAGCCTGCAGCACAACACAGGGATGCGTTGGCCAGGGAGGAGTGAGTGAGGACAGGCAGCCCCCACACATGGATATTGCCCGCAGAAGGAGGAGCCTTGAAGCTAGAGGTTCCGGGGACCTGGGGACCTGGGAATGGAGGGGGTGGGGGATTGGCACACACGGGAGAGTAAGGCCAGCAGTTTCTGGCTGCTGCTCAGAGCATCTCTGAGAGCACCTGCACTTCCAAACCTCCGATCAAACACTGAATATGCCAGGAGTCATGGCCAGAGCGTGCGGGCATGCACACACATGTGCGCACACACACATCACAAGTGCATCTGGTATCTGTGGCTTTGAGCAAATATTACCAATTAGAAATACTTGTGAAAGAATGGACTGTATGGTCTACCGACACCATGAGGATGCGGAAAACTGAAAGGCCTGCTTTGAGCAGGTACGGTTGCCACTGTGTGTTCCTTGGGAACGGCCGAAGGCCTAGTGCCCAAGTCCCACAGCCCGTGCGTGTGTCCCAGTGATTCCTGCCGCGTCTGGCCTGCAGGCATCTGGGAGGCACTTGGTACCCACATGCAGGAAAGGGTCCTTTAGTGGCCCCTGTCCTCTGCATAATCCGGCCCAAACTTTCCAGCATGGACCCAAACCTCCCTTCCTGCTTGGCGGGAATTGCCCCAGCCACAGTCACGTTTAGGTAACCTCCATGCCATGTGCCTTGCGCCCTGTGGGACCCTCGAACCTTCCCTGCTCACCTGAGCTGATTGCTTCCTCCGTGCCCTGTTTTGGGCCACACTGAGGAATAATGCTGGGCCCTTCTGTGCCACCGTGTCCTCCTGGGAGGCTGGACCACGTTGCTGCCATCTCCCAGGACCCAGCACAATAGCGTGCAGGTCACCGGGAGTGGGGTTAAGTCTGGAAATGAATGAATGAAGACAACTACAAGCGACAAGAACTGGGGAAGAGTATCCATCCTGGTATAGGGTCCAACCCTAGGTCCAAAACACCTTGGGGAGAAGGAATAATACAATGGCACCAACCACGAAATTCATGCGTCCAACGAGCAGCTGATGGGGAAAGCAGGACCGCGTGTTGGTGACTCGGAGTGTGCGGGGCGGGGGAGGCAGGAGTGTGTGGTTTGCGTTTTCCTTCCACACTCCTTTGGCTCTTGTTTGGGTTTTTTACCTGGCACCTCCAGCCCCGCGCACCGGTCAGACACCGCGCAGCAGCTCAGCTTGCGGTACCCAAAGGGCTCGCTCCCCTGACCTCGTGGTTGCCCGGGGCTCAGCCCTGCATCGCGCCGCTGGTGGGGCCTGCGCAGGGCGCGACCTCCTCGGCTGGCAAGTTTTTTCCTCTCTCCAAAACCCGCCCTGGCTGGCCTTCCTTTGCTCCCATCTCCCACTAGAGAGGAGGGGAGGACGAGGAGGGCGACAGCGAAAGGCGCCGCTGCCCGGACTTCTGGCGACCCCTCCAAGTTTGCGTTTGGCTCGTGCTGCCCTGGCCCGACCCTGGAGCAGCCGCGAACTTGCGCGGCGGGAAAGGCGCTTGGAGCCCACGCGGGCCACGTCCGCCGCCCAGCCCCGCAGACGCCCGCCCGTGAGCCCAGGGCGTGGGCGCCGACCGCAACGCCTCGCGCGGCGTTTGTGGCCGGCGTTCGGGGCGCCACGCCGGCCAGGGCAGCGCTCCCTGCGCTCCCGCCGCCCCCGGTTCTTTATCTCCGGCTGCACGCCGGGCCTTTGGCAAAGACAGCAGCGACTAAGCCCGTGCCGCTTCCTAGCAGACCCCACTCTTTGTGCCTCCTCGCAGCCTTTGCCATCACCACCACTACTTCCTCCTCCTCCGGCTCCTCCCGCCGCCGCCTCCCTCGCGCCAGCTCGCCCGCCCGCCGCCGGCTTGCGCTGGGCGAGTAGGCGGCGGGCTCCCTCTGCGCCGCGAAGCCGGGGCCGCGATTGGGCGACGGTCCCTGAGCCTCCGGTTCCGCGTCGGTTTCAAGGCTCCTCCCTCCTGGTGAAAGACAGACTGCGGGGCGCCTGGAAACCGGTCCGAGGGCGCGCGAGGGAGAGGAGAGCGAGCGAGTTGAGGGATTGACACAAATGGTCAGGCGGCGGCGGCGGAGAAGGAGGCGGAGGCGCAGGGGGGAGCCGAGGCCGCTGGGCTGCGGAGAGTTGCGCGCGGCTCGGGGCCCAGGCCACTAGCGCGGCGTCGCCAGCCGGGAGCCAGGGAGCCGAGGGCCAGCAGAGGCGGGACGCGACCCCGGCGCGCCCGAGCCAGCCGGGCTCTCCCCGCGCCCCACGCTTCATGAACCGCAAGTTTCCGCGGCGGCGGTGGCGGCTGCGGGACGCGGAGCGGGAGCCGGGGGTGCGGGCCGAGCGCGGCGCGGGCTCGACGGAGGGCACCGGCCGGGACCGAGTCTCCCGGGACGCAGTGGGCGCCGCCGCCAGCCGAACTGCGCCGAGAAAGGAGCCGAGAAAGTATGGCTGAGGAGGAGGCGCCTAAGAAGTCCCGGGCTGCTCTTGCCGCCGCGGGCGTGAGCCGGGAACTTTGTGCAGCCGGGGCGCTCTGGGCCGGGCCGGCCGAGGCGGGGAGCGGGGACGCAGGCGGCCGCCGGCGCCGTTGCCTCCACCCCGGGCGCCTGGCGCGCCGGCTGCTGCTGCTGTTTTGGCTGCTGGAGGCTCCGCTGCTGCTGGGGGTGCGAGCGCAGGCGGCGGGCCAGGGGCCCGGGCCGGGACAGCAGCCCCCGGCGGCGCCTCCGCCGCCTCCACCACCACCGCCGCCCCAGCCGCAGCAGGGCGGGCAGCAGTACAACGGAGAACGGGGCATCTCCATCCCGGACCACGGCTACTGCCAGCCCATCTCCATCCCGCTGTGCACGGACATCGCCTACAACCAGACCATCATGCCCAACCTGCTGGGCCACACGAACCAGGAGGACGCGGGCCTGGAGGTGCACCAGTTCTACCCGCTGGTGAAGGTGCAGTGCTCGGCCGAGCTCAAGTTCTTCCTGTGCTCCATGTACGCGCCCGTGTGTACCGTGCTGGAGCAGGCGCTGCCTCCCTGCCGCTCCCTGTGCGAGCGCGCGCGCCAGGGCTGCGAGGCGCTCATGAACAAGTTCGGCTTCCAGTGGCCGGAAACACTCAAGTGCGAGAAGTTCCCAGTGCACGGCGCCGGCGAGCTGTGCGTGGGCCAGAACACGTCGGACAAGGGCACACCGACGCCCTCGCTGCTGCCTGAGTTCTGGACCAGCAACCCCCAGCACGGCGGCGGCGGGCACCGCGGAGGCGGCTTCGGCGGGGGCGCCGGCGCGGCGGAGCGGGGCAAGTTCTCCTGCCCCCGCGCGCTCAAGGTGCCTGCGTATCTCAACTACCATTTCCTGGGGGAGAAGGACTGCGGAGCGCCATGCGAGCCCACCAAGGTGTACGGGCTCATGTACTTCGGGCCCGAGGAGCTGCGCTTCTCACGCACCTGGATCGGCATCTGGTCGGTTCTGTGCTGTGCCTCCACGCTCTTCACGGTGCTCACGTACCTGGTGGACATGCGACGCTTCAGCTACCCGGAGCGGCCCATCATCTTCCTGTCGGGCTGCTACACAGCCGTGGCCGTGGCCTACATAGCCGGCTTCCTGCTGGAAGATCGCGTGGTGTGCAATGACAAGTTTGCCGAGGATGGGGCGCGCACCGTGGCGCAGGGCACCAAGAAGGAAGGCTGCACCATCCTCTTCATGATGCTCTACTTCTTCAGCATGGCCAGTTCCATCTGGTGGGTGATCCTCTCACTCACCTGGTTCCTGGCTGCTGGCATGAAGTGGGGCCACGAAGCCATCGAGGCCAACTCCCAGTACTTCCACCTGGCCGCCTGGGCCGTGCCGGCTGTCAAGACCATCACCATCCTGGCGCTGGGCCAGGTGGATGGTGACGTGCTGAGCGGCGTGTGCTTCGTGGGCCTCAACAACGTGGACGCCCTGCGGGGCTTCGTGCTGGCGCCGCTCTTCGTCTACCTGTTCATCGGCACGTCCTTCCTGCTGGCCGGCTTCGTGTCGCTCTTCCGCATCCGCACCATCATGAAGCACGACGGGACCAAGACCGAGAAGCTGGAGAAGCTCATGGTGCGCATCGGCGTGTTCTCCGTGCTCTACACAGTGCCCGCCACCATCGTCATCGCCTGCTACTTCTACGAGCAGGCCTTCCGAGACCAGTGGGAGCGCAGCTGGGTGGCCCAGAGCTGCAAGAGCTACGCCATCCCCTGCCCGCACCTGCAGGCGGGCGGGGCTGCACCACCGCACCCGCCCATGAGCCCCGACTTCACGGTCTTCATGATCAAGTACCTGATGACTCTCATCGTGGGCATCACGTCGGGCTTCTGGATCTGGTCCGGCAAGACCCTCAACTCCTGGAGGAAGTTTTATACTCGGCTCACCAACAGCAAGCAGGGGGAGACCACGGTGTGAGGCTTGCAGGGCGGGGCGGGATTGGGGGCCTTGCGACTGGAGCCTGTTTTCTCCCTGGAGGGCAGTGAGGGGGTCCGCGGGGGCGCCTCGGTCCACCGAGCCCCTGTGGGGGACATGGTCCCTGGTGGTGGCAGTGGACTCCAGGAGCCAGACTGCAGGGGTAGAGTGAGGGAGGGAGACTGGACCGACACTCCGGTACCGGAACTGGGTACGCTTTTACGACTGTAAATAGCCAGTGTAAGATTTTTGTAAGTATATTTGTATTTAAATGATGACCAATCCCACGGTTCTTGTTTTGTTTTGTTTTTAAGTTCAGTGATCTAGGGTGGTCGAACCATGGCAGGCTTTTCCTTCTCGGGGTAGCGTAGAGGGCACAGCCCGGCGCACGCCCGTGCGTCCCTGCTGGGGCTGCAAGCCTCCTCACTTCCCGTCTTCTCCTCTGCTCCCTCCCTCCCTCTCCTGGCTGGTGGTAGGGGCCCAGCCCAGCAGGTGCCCAACTGCACGGGGAGCTTCCAGACCTGGGGTGGGCTCGTGCTCCTCCCAAATCCAGCTGCAAACTGCAGGAAGTCGCATTTTGGAGACCATTCCTTCAGCTCCGCGGGAGCCCAAGGGCGTGGGTGCTAGCGGTCCCAGCCCCTAGACACCCACGCCCAGGCACTCCTCCCTGCTTCAACCTGCAGTGGGTCAGAGGAGGAAACTCGACGCCAAACTTTTTGTCAGTCTGATGGTTGGTGGATGAGCTCATTCCCTTCTCTGTGGGGCTAAAACCTGGTGTGGGTTTGGCCGGCGTCATGGAAAGATGTGGTTAGGGAGATATGGGCAGCTGAGGCGGCAGTATGGGTTGGGAGCCACTGGGGATGGGACTGCAGAATGCGCGCTCTAATTGCGCTGGGATGCCTGGCAGGCCTCCTGTAGGCATGGCACAGCCTTTGTGTGCAGATTTCACCCCGTGTGAAGGAACCAGAAGGGCACCTGCCAAGTGTTCAGGTGCTGCTCCTGGCTTGGCCCAACCAGGCAGCGGAATGGGCGGAAAAGGCACAGCGCAGGGAGTGCTCATGCCACACACTCAGAATGAAGCGCTGCCTGCTTATTTCTCATCCAGTAACAGATACGTTTCAGAAAAGAAACCGTAAGATGCACAGATTGGAGCGTCCAGGCTGACACCGTGATTGCTACTCAGCAACACGGACTGAGGGAGGAACAATTGACCCCATTAATAAAAACCTGGCAAGAGGTGGGGAGGTGAAGGAGGTGGGAGGGTTAATGGGATCAGCTCCTGAAATAAACCGCATGCTACAGGGAAAGTGTGTGCTGGGCCCCTTGGCAAATCCCACCTGCTCCTTCCAGGATGCGCTGCTGTGTGGCAGATGTCAACCTTCCCAAGTCTAAGAATATTCACTCTAGTTCTGTGAGGAAAAGGAGAGAAGTAGTCCTCCTGATCTGTGTTGTTTTAAACTTTGAAGTTTTCCACAGGGCTGGACCGAAAGGGATCTGTCTGTCAAACCCTAAAACGACGTTGGTCTTTGATTTTGTTATGCATTTATTCTGTTCACTATCACAAAATCATCTATATTTATAGAGGAATAGAAGTTTATATATATATAAAATACCATATTTTTAATTTCACAAATAAAAAAACAAAGTTTTGTACAAAACTATATGGTTTTTTGTGCCTGAAAATAAGAGAGCTGGAACAGTCTTCACATTGTATATAGTGTCTCATGGCCAATCCCAAGATTGAATTCAAGATTTCCTTGAAAATGTTTATCTTCAGACCAGCCTTTCCAAAGAATTTATGTGTTTGCCTCATTGCGGTTGTTATTTCTAAAGTCCCACGGAGAGATCTGTTTCCGTGATAGTAGAAAATAGAAATTTGCTAATTATTTCTTTACTCAAAGAGGATTATTAAAAGAGATCTCTAATTTTAATAAGAATTTTTTTCTTTCATGGAATAAATTTTCATGACTTTATAATATGGAGGTTTATTTTTAAATCATTACTTTTGTCACAGTTTTTATGAGGTAATGTCTTATCTCTTCCATAATCTTAGATGCCACAAACTATAAACAAGCAATCAATAAACTGTTAACTATGTGTTTATAAGCATTTTAACCAGCAGTTGGGTTTGTAAGACTGTCGTGTGCTTCTGAAGCCCCCATTTTCATGGCGCTCAAGGAGCCTTCGCAGAGGAATCACCTCATTGGTTTGCTTTTAGAATCCATGTGTCTGTGCGCTTGTGTGCACAAAAGTGTACCCACACTGATAATTTTAAAGACAGAAATGCATAGTTGTATATCTCACGCTACGGAAATTTGGCTATGAGAAATTCAAAATGATGGAGGGAAAATCTTAAATACCTTTACAGATAATAACTTTTGCCATGAAAACATTTTGTAAAAGGCAGTGGGCTAAAGTGAAGAGGAGTGATTTAAGGCGACTGTGTCATAAATCATCATCCTTATTTATTTTATGCAAATGAAAAAGTAAATATTGTTGAAAATATAGCATTTGATTTTAAGTAGCCAGATGCAATTTCATGTTCTTTTTTGTTACATTATTATGGAATACATGTCTGAGAAGGTTCTATTGTTGTAGGCACACAAAAAATACTTATTCTTGAGCCAACTGGAAACACCTTAATAGCTAATTCAATTAGACAATTTCTGGAAAAAATATTTAAGACTACGAGTAGCTATCCAGGGCATAAATGTTTAATCAGTCACTTTGTCGGTATCCTTACAAGGAAGCAAAAACGCATTTGCTGTAGCGAGGTCTATATGCTGGATTTGAATAACATTAGCACATATTTTAAAGTTAGCAGCAGGCTTTACTTTTAGACAATTTATTCTAAATTATGTAGCATTTAGCAAACTACAATATTTTTGTTTCTTTCGATACTGGTGGCAAAATAAGACTTGCCTGGAAAGGCATAAAGCTATTGGGAATATTGTCCCATTAGCATGCCGTTTCCGTGACTAACTACTTTCCTCTGTTTGATCCCATCCCCCCCTTTTTAAAACCAGCTATCAATTGGAGTCAGTTTTCCCCTCACAGTTCATTTGAGTCAGCTTTTGGAGTACGTGGCATGAGAGCGTTCTGATGTTCTCGAAAAAATGAAAGCTTTTTTTTTTTTAAATTTAAACATTGTGAAGACAGAGGCATATTTTAAGTCTCAGAGCCAGTGAGCGTCAAGCATCTGTACTTTGCAGCCTGCCTGTGGTTGTCACTTGCCAGCCGTAAGTGATAGTCCTGGTGCTTTTGTCTTTGCTGCTAGTCCTGAATGAGCCTTTCTCAGGTCCACCTATTTAACCGGGAAAGAGTCAGTGGTTCTGGGTCAGTGGTCAATTCACAGAAATCTTCGCTCAGTGGCAGACCATTTCCAGACCTGGGTGGCCTCTTGCTTCCTGGACACCCCCTTTCAACCTTGGCGCAGTATTTTTAAGGTGTCTACGCTTCTCTGTGTTTTCAGCTGCAGCTAATCTGGCTTTTATTGCCTTCTAATCCATCTACTCAGTATAGGCTCCCATTTAGGTAATGCACATGTAATCAACTGAAACCAGAGGCAGGGTAGTGACATCACTGACAAAACCCTGATTCTAATCCAAGTGGGGCCTGAAGGGCTGGAAATGAGATATGCCCAGTGCCACTGGGGATGGACACGAGAGGTATTGCCATGAAACACTTCCTAGGATATCACAGTCCTGTAGGATTAAGTTGTAGGAGCCACAATTGTGATAGGACCTTAAATTCAAGGTAGTATTTAAGGCCCTTACATTTGGACTTAGTCTTATAGGGAAGTGTCAAGCCTGTTAAAGTTGATTTTTATTCATTTTTACTTATTTGAGAGGAAGAGAAACAAACAGAATTCCTAATCATTTCCTAAATGCCCAAACCAGGCCAAAGCTGGGAGCTGGGAACTCAATCCAGGCCTTCCATGTGGGTGGCAGGGACTCAGCTACTGGCGTCATCACTTCTGGGACCCATCATTCCCAGAATTCCCACAATCAGGAAGGGAGCTGGGAAGCGGAGCCTAAGCCCTCCGCAGTGGGATGTGGGCCTCTTAACCACTAGACCCAAACAAGTCTACTGCAGTGACCCTGGACGCACGGTCTGTTTTGACGTAATCAATTGTAATAGTGCTTCAAAGTAGAAAAATAGTGCTTGAGCTCCAGCTGCAACTTAGAATCCCCTTCAGCATTTTGGAGCCAACCATTTTACCCACCGGTGGTCTTACTTTTTTAGAATAAGTATGCTAAACTAACAATTACAGTGACCCAACAGCTTAGGATCAGCTAACAGAAGCACAGATGGTCCCTAGCTCATCTGCTTTATCATGATCTGTGAGGACAGATCTGTGCTCCTTCACAGAAGGAAGCTATTGTTGATCATAGCGACAAGTCAGATGGAAGGACTTCTCACACAGTGTAAAAGACCAGCTCAGGTTATCATCTATAAAGTACATCCTACAATGAACATATGATCAGTATTCTGGACATCATAAAATGTAGACATGTATGGAAACATCACATACTACCCTGTAAACATGCATAACAAATAAATAATAAAGAATGAATATCTTGTGAGTCATAAGCAGTTTTGTGAGTCAAGCAGATTCTTAAGCTAAAAAAAGATACATTTTCAAATAGACAATTTTTTTTAAATTATAAAAATGATGCTATACTAAAGAGGTGCATTTTGAGAGATAAAATTCAAATAACACTCCATATTTTGTCATTAATAGGTCATTTGAATGACATTTACGTCTACTAATTCTAATAGCCAAGTAGTAGAATAGCATTCATCTGCACATTTTATACACATTGCTTTTTAAAAGATGAACTTAACATAGTGTAGAGAACAATTCCATGTTTCAGAATTTATAATATACATCTTTAATATAAGCATCTGAAGACATTCCAACCATAGCACAGACCTCAGAGTATGCTCATAGCAACACCATGATTAACATCAAAGGAGACACTTGCTGCTTTCAGAGAGTTCTCTGGCCAGGATTTCTTTCTTTTCTTTCCCTGTTAAAAACCAAGAATCCTCTAATTTGTGGATATCTCCATGTTTCGGATCTCAATGCCTGTTTGAATTAGATGTGCAGGGGAGTAACTGTAGGACCTCCTCATAGACAACATGTGGCCTTAACTTCCTTCCAGCTGGGCCGTGTGCCCGTGCTTAGGTGAGGGATCTGAGGCAGACTGTTCTGCCCTTGGAAGTGCTCCCTCACTGCAGCAGCAGTGCCTTCAGGTCAGGTGGGTTAGGTGCTTATTGCAAATGCCATGTTGTACTTGATCGTAACAAGGATGGCTTTCCCGTAAGAAGATTTAGGGTCTATCTTTGACCTTCTCTTTATGCCTCTGGGAAAACATTCTAAAGAGTTAACTCCAACAAATTCTCCATGTAAATACTGGTAATTTCTTTGATAAGTGACCATCCATCCAGGTGTACCCAGGACTGAAGGGATTTTTGGGGATGTGGGACTTTCAGCAGTAAAACCAGGACAGTTCTGGACAGACCAGGATAGTGGCTGAACCTGTTCCATGAATTTATGCTCCACAAGATAGACTGAACACTAACATGTTGATCTGCAGTTCCACATTAATACTGTGTGTTTGTGGCTATAGACTTTTTCCTGAGCAAATAAAGAACCAGTGGGAACAGCCCTTTGGGGATCTCCACAGTGACTACCTACCAACAGAAGCTGAGTGCAACACTCAGGCTGATGGAACAGGCCCCACTGAGTATCCTGGCCTAGCTTTGCCTTTTGCCTCTTGAAGGGCAGAGCTATCTAACCAGTCCCTGAATCTTGCTTGTGCTTCTCCTGCAATCAGGTTACACAGCTACTTTAGGAAAGACTTTTCAAAAAGTATTCCCTTGGAATATGTTTCTTTCTTTATTCAATTTTGATTTCTATTTATTTGAAAAGCAGAGACAGAGAAGCAGGAGGGAGAAAGAGAGGTTTCCACCCACTAGTTCACTCTCCAAAGGCCCACAATACCCCATCCAGGGCCAGGTTGCAGCCAGGAATTGGAGTCCCATCAGGATCGCTGCGTGGTAACGGTCTCAGCTGCATAAGCCCTCACTGCTGTTTGCTGGAGTGCACACTAGCAGGAAGCGGCTGTGGGCGGTGCAGCTGGGACTCAGAGCTCAGCTGCTGTGAGACGAGATGTGGTGCGCCCCTAGCGGCAGCTTCATCGCTGCACCAAAGGTCTGCACTGCTAGTTGTTTGTTCATTTTTTCAATAATGTGTTATATTTCTTCTGTTTTTAAAATACTATTTCTTTTACTCATCTGAAAGGCACAGGGACAGAGGGACAGGGGAAGAAGACAAAGAGAAAGAGATCTTCCATCTATTGGTTTACTTTTTTTTAATTTATTTTTAAAAATAATCTCACTGAGTTGATTAGGGTACTAAGGGTCAAGGGCTACAGGAAAGTCGGTAATACCATTGTTTCCACACTAATATCATTTTTTCCTCCTGCATCTGGTTTACTTTCCAAAGGTCAAGGTTAGGCCAAGGGGAAGCAAAGAGCCAGGAACTGCATCTGAGTCTTCCACATGGGAGGCAAAGGTCAAAGTGCATGGCTCATCTGCTGCGTTTCTAGTGTGTTAGCAGAGAACTGGATCGAAGCAGAGTGGCTGGGACTCCACTCAGGGTTTCTGTATGGGATGTCAGAGTCATAGAGTGGGCTTAACCCATTGCCCACAAAGTTAATCAGATTGTTAAGAACTACTGGGTTCTTGTATATGTTTGTATTTATTGCATATTAATCAGTTCATTGTGAAACTGCAAACTTAAGTCCATATTCCCAAATGACTATACATCAACATTTATTTGATTGTCTTACTTTTTTTCTTAGAGTTAACATCTACAACTTTCTCCAAATGTAAAGTTGTGTCTACAAGAGTACAAGAACAAGAAGTAAATTAGGTATTAAATTTTTAGTGAGAATGGGTGTTGCACATTAGCCTAGCAGTTAAAGTCCTCTCCTTGCACGCACTGGGATCCCATATGGGATTTGTAATCCCAGCAGCCCCTTTTCCCATCCAGCTCCCTGCTTGTGGCCTGGGAAAGCAGTCAAGGACACCCAAAGCCTTGGGACCCTGCACCCACATGGGAGACCCGGAAGAGGATCTGGGCTCCTGGCTTCGAATCAGCTCAGCTCCGGCCGTTACAGTCACTTGCTGAGTGAATCATTAAACGGAAGATCTTCCTCTCTGTCTCTTCCCCTCTCTGTGTATCTGTCTTTCCAATAAAAACAAAATGTTTTTTAAAAAGTCCAGTGAGAATTGTAGATGATGACTGGGATCATGAAATCCATGGCCTTCATATTTCTATGTGATACTCTCCAATCACAACTGGTCCAGCGCTTTTTGAGTTAATTATCATTGTTCCTCTAAATACACATAACATATTACAGACTTTGCTGTTGAAAGCACGACACTGTTCCTGTTGTTTTCTTAACTAAATTCTGAGTAAAAGAATGAAAATGATAGATCGATAAGTGCCTG